CATATCCAGAATGGGCTGTAGTCCACGAAAGCTTATGCTCTAATAAATTTGTTAGTCTCTAAGGTGCCATAAGTCCTCCTGTTCTTCTTTTTGTGGATACAGACTAACACGGCTGCTACTCTGAAACTTAGGGAAAGATTGTACCTCCTCGACACACACCTTGCTGAGATCCACTTGGAACAGCACTACTCCTGTACTGTCTCTGGGTCAGAGTTGTGCCTTTCAGGTACAATCTAGCTCAGAGAGAGCATGTAAAGCCTTATCTGTCTGTCTTTCGCTAACACATGCAAACACACACACACAATGTTTTGACAGTAGTTAACCAAATTAAAAATAATATTCTTTTTAATATATTTCCTGAACAAGGTTATGCAAGCCCAGTGTATAAAGGCAGAAACGGAGTTCTATCGGCGTAGTCGAAGTGAGATAATCAATGGAGAGGGACATACAATGGGATCACTCTACTGGCAGCTTAATGATATCTGGCAGGCCCCTTCATGGGCTTCTCTAGGTAAGTCTTCCAGTTGCCATCAGTGAAACCGCTAATTGTGCTTTTTAAATTTATTTTTATTATCCATAACTTGTTTCGTCAGAAATACCAGTTCAAGAAATAAGGCTCACTATTATTGCCTGGATAACTTTACAAGAACCAAACATATTTCTAACCATCTACTATACATCTCAGCAAAGTGGTTTATAGGATACTGATACTAAAACTAAAGCCTGATACTAAAGCCTGATACTAAAACTGAGCAGGGATGCAAAGCTGTTAGTCTTGGTATGTCATCCTCCTCAAAAACAAACAAAATAAAGAGGAAAACAAACCTTTTAGTGTATCCACTCGTTAGTGTTTGTTTCAGAGTACAGTAACCACCAATGGTAAATGTAGACCCAGGAACCTTTATAACACAAGGCAAAGATACCCTATAATTCTTTCAGTGATGCAGGCCCTAGTTTAACTTTTATGTATTTTAAGTTAAGCAATATTAATGTCTTTTGAGTAGAAGACAATATTTAAAACAAACAAGCATAACTGCTATGGAGTGGTAGCTGCACTGTAGTTAAGATTGAAGCTAGTTCCTCATTATAAACCTAACTTTTCAACATCCTCCTAGCTTCCCCAGAAAGAAATTGATCTTCCTTAAAGCTTACATGACACATCTCATCCAGGATAGTTTTTCTGAGGAGTGTGGTTAAATTCAAAGATTTTTTTTTTAATTTTTCCGTCTTCAGAGTGGCAAAGCCTAGAAACTCCAAACTAGTTTAAGTATCAGAGGGGTAGCCGTGTTAGTCTGTATCCACACAAAAAACGAGGAATCCAGTGACTCCTCTGAAGTGGGTGGTTTTTTTTTACCCATGAAAGCTTATGACCAAATAAATCTGTTAGTCTTTAAGGTGCCACCGGACTTCTCATTGTTTTTGTACAAACTAGTTTTGTTTGTTTGTTTTGGTGTTGCTGCAGAGAAGTGCCTTTTAGTATTGTGGGAAAGGTTAGAAAGGCCTAAAGAGTTGTTTTTAATGGATATGGAGAGCAATGTTTTTAGGGAAACATACCAATAAGTGTGGGTTAGCTATAATTACATAAATGTATAAAAAAACATATATTCATTCAATAACCTGAAAGATTATGATGTTTTTTCTTAGTAATAAAAACACCTAATTTCTCAGTCAATGTGTTTGGAACTTTGCAATATGTCAAGACACACTGGGACTAAATTAGTTGAAGAATCTTTAGTTCTAATTAAATAGCATATAATGTCATCTGTATATACCCAACAATGTGTTTTATTTCACAGCATAACATTGGGCCTATTTTAGGTTGAGTGCAGATGTGTAACTTGCTTGGGTAATAAATAGTAAGTGAAGGAGAACTGCATGGTCTGAGTGAAGTGGCTGCATTCCATAACTGCTCATATCTAGGTGAGCATATTTTGAGGTTTAGGGTTTTTTTAAGGTAGAAGGACTGTTCTGTGGAAATATAGAATACATGTACCTAGTTGTTATATGATGCTTATCTTTACATTTCAAAGCATTTTACAAAAGAGGGCAGTATCATTATCCCCATTTTACAGATAGGAAAACAAGAGGTAAAGTGACTTGCCCAAGGTCATCCAGAAGGCTAGTGGTAGAGCTGGGAATTGAACTCAGGCCTGCTGAATCCCAGTCCAGTGCCCTATCTATGATTTCAACCTCAATTATTTCTTAATTATTGTTGTTATTATTGTTTAGTTTACTGATATATGCAGCAGAGAAGAAGTTCATAGTTAAACGTTGGAATATGGTCAGTTTATGAAAAGGAGGTAAACATAGTTTTTTCTACACCTGCCCCTGGGTCCACCTGCCAATTTTTGTGGTTTTACAGTGACCTCTTCTTACTTCCTAAAGTTTTTCTCTTCCCTTTTCTTGTGTGGAAGACTTCCACCTCAAAAACCAGAGGAAACAAATTAGTGAAACTGTCTTTAAACAACATGCTGCTTTATCTTGGCCTCATGACCAGCCTTAACACTGAGGTTCCTGGACTTCATGAATTTATGCTGTAGAAACATAATGTTTGTTTATCTGGATTTTACTATAATTGACAAATTCTTACAAAATAAGTACCTTAAAAAGGAGGAAAAAAAATACTTAGTAATATGTCTCAATGTACAGATAGATGCATTGATAGATGATCTGATGTGATGAACATAAGCATGATTTTTTTTTAAGTACAGAACCACTAACGTCATCAAAGCAAATGTCAGAAATAGTTAAATTAGTCATAGTCTAGTTAATGTCAGTTTTCAGAAAGGAAGCTCAGCAGAGATACAGCTGTCCCTTTGTTTCATTTTATTCTGTCAGTGGATTGAGGAAAAAATTAATTTTCATTTAATTAGGCAATGCGGTAGAGGGAGTTTTGAAATTCAAATGTTGGAATTATGCAAAACCTCAAATAAATTAGTTTTCTTTGCACTTCAAAAGCACACTTCTGCATCTCTTTAGGTTGCACACGGCATCATTGATGAATACTTCCTTTATTTAGATTTGTTCTTTTATAAATGGAGTGCCCTGGAGGGGTTTACATCATTTCCCATACGAAGTGGAAGTGTGTTCCTTCTTGAAACGGGGAGAGAATTGAGAATTAAATATTTGTTTATATATTAAAAACATTTACCTGGAAAATAAGAAAACACAGTGAAGCTGTCTTGTCTGCATGTGACTCTCTGCCTCCCTTCAGAAGTCAATGTATTTCCAATCCTCAGTGACTGGATTTTGAATGTTTGATTATGGTTTTGGAGCCACTTGTGCTGCATTGATTGCTTTAGCATCTGTGTGGTGTGTTTTCAGTGAAGAATGCTAAGCTGTAGCTGGAATTTCACCACCTTCCTGTACAGCTGTCACCTTAAGCAGGGCAGGCTCCAGCATTTCTGCCGCCCCAAGCAAAAAAAAAAAAGCCGCGATCGGCGGCGGCAGTTCAGCGGCAGGTCCTTCGCTCCTAGAGGGAGTGCGGGACCTACCGTCCCTCTCCGTTGGCCGCCCCAAGCACCTGCTTGTTAAGCTGGTGCCTGGAGCCGGCCCTGACCTTGAGGTATCTGATTCAGTTATCAGGAGTTTCACAGATTGCTGAGTTTTATTGGTTAGAAGTGTGGGTCCAATACTTACAGTGTCTAGTGAGCTGAAACCACGAGCTTAAAAAAAAAATAGATTTAAATTTGTGAGATTGGATGTGAGGAAAGAACTTAGCAGCATGTTTTTCAGGTTGTGTTTAATGGCGTTGAGCAATTAATTTAGAATCCATTACAGTGAAGAAAGCTATTTGTTCTTATTCTAGCTGTTAGATGAAAAGGCTTCAGGGAACAGTGAAAGATCTGGGCAGTGATGTCTTATTCCAGAGTGAGTCGTCACCTCTTGTTCTGAACGTTGATGTTGTGATATAAAGTACAGTCCCTGTTGTGTGTGTCATAATTTGGAAGAGAATTGGGAACTCAGATTTAATCAACAGTTCATTTGAACACAGAAAGCTAGTCCCAGGTTTGTTTTAAACAGCTTTTGCCCCATGTCATCCGTGCCTACAACAGGAATGGTTAAAGCCAAATTTTCACACTGGCTGCTCCCTCCCAAGATTTCTCACTGCCATTTTTACATCAAAAAATCTGTCTCCTGATTAAGTTAATCTAGACAGTCAGGCTTAAACACTTGAGCTGTAGGCTTTGCAGCCAGCATGAAGAGGGCTCATCTCTCAATTCTACCAAAAGTCACTTTCATAAGTTGCAGCAGTCATAGTAATGGCTCCAAATATTCTGTGATTCTCTGCTGCAGAATTAACTGTACAATCCATCCTTTGCTGTGGAACTGTGCTCCAACATGTAAGCTCTTGTCTTGTATTATTTAAAAAACATTTATTTGGCCTTTGGTTACAGGGAAAAACAACACTTTAAAATACGGAGAAGGTGTATCTGATGTATTGGTGTCTGCTTGGGTCTGCAGAGAGCCTGAAACAGTAGCTGGGGAGGAGTGAACTTCTCCCATTAATGTCAATGAGATGTGATAGCCAACGATGAGTTTAAATGTCAGCCTTGTTAACAAGTTCATTTCTGATCAGTTTTGCAGAAACATCCAGTTAATGGGGTTTTATCCCCCAATTGTGAGCCATCTTGCACTTTCCCGGATGTCAAAACCACCAGCTTTCCTCCAGATGATTTCTGTGATGCAGTTGTGTTATCAATTCACAAATCTGTGGCATGTTGAAAAGTGAAAACGTGGGTTTAGCATAAAATAAATTGAATTTAATATCGGGGGATGCTCTTCGATATGCTTCATTTTCATATTTTAATCCAATAAAAGCCTACGTTTTCAGAATGTAAATGAAGCTGCTACAGAATTTCCAATCTGTTAAATTAGCATGCCATGGAAATCATGGGCCTTGCCACAGAGATTAGTCTGAGCCTGCAGCAGACTCTGCTCGAAACCTATGGCTAAAGGCACCTGTTGCAGAGACTGCCAAAATCCCTGAGATTCTCATGGCAGTCTTGAAGGCTTGAGAACTCCACTGCCTCCTTCCACTCAAAAGCCTGAGGCTAGGCAGGGATGCCCTTTCCCCAGACAATGCCAATGTATTTTTCTTTGCTGTCTATAAATCTAGACTTCCATTTTAGAAACAAGAAGCTGCCACACATTTTTCTTTGTTTTGGGCAAGCTACTCCCAGTCCAAGCCTCCACTGTCTCTTGTTCATTCAGGTTTTCTGAAGGCCCAGAAGAAGCATGTGTGATTTAAATCAAACCAACCACAGAGTTATCCCCATCTCTGAATTTTCCCAAGGCTTCCTGTCTCCTGTGTGTTGTCTGCCATTTAGACTGTAAACTGCTCGAAACCGGAATTATCTTTGTGTACTATACAGCACCAACACACTGTCTGAGCTGAACAACTTATAATAAAATTACGACGACTTGTATGTTTGAAGAAGCTCTATGAAATGTCTGGTACTGAATAGCGACTAGGCTCAGCAACCCTCCAGAAACCCTTTTCAGATTTCACCCCGTCATGCAAATCAACAGCATTATGGTAAAACTGGAGTTCTTCCCTGTGCTGTCGACCTGCATTGGCCATGCTTTGGTGTCATAACTTAGAAACCAAAGTTGTAAGTACTTCTAAACAAGCAGCAAAGCAAAGCAGAAGCTTTTGGTTATTGCAGATATCTTCCAACATCATGAGCTATGTTCGTATTCTATAAGATGAAAAGCCACAAACCAAAATTGGACAGAGTATAATTTTCTTTCATCATAACGTTATGGAGACAAGTTGGTGCCTCTTTTTAGTGATATGCCAGTGGCTAGGATATATGGCTGAGCAAGGACGGAGTTAAAATGTTAACATTAAAATATTGACCTAGATGGGAAAGGAGTAGGGAGAAGATGGACATCGACACAAAGATCCACATTTTCAGAATGCTACACAATGAGTGTTCTTACAAGACCTGGGAAAACTCCACTGTGGCTGGCTCATCCACCATGCTGAGCGTTATACTAGGGTTTTGGTGGTATTTGTGAGGAGACGACATTTGATGGCTTCTCTAATTTGTGAATGGCTGAATTTTTGATAGCACAATAAGTAATAAAGTACAGCTCCCCCTAAACATACAGTATGTGCAAGTATTTTATTTAAAAAACCCCAAGCAATAGAGGTAACTTGTACAGATGGGCCTAATTTTGAGTCTGCTTGGATTCATGAGTTTGAAAGTCTGACTCAGGCTTACAGGTTTATGTTTTGCTTAGGAGGAGTTGCAAAAACTGCCCAAGAGAATGGGAAGAGGGAAATTCTGATGAAAAATGAAATACAGTAACTCCTCACTTAACGTCCTCCCGCTTAACGTTGTTTCGAAGTTATGTCACTGCTCCATTAGGGAACATACTCATTTAAAGTTGTGCAATGCTCCCTTATAACATCGTTTGGCTGACTTTGCAAGGGAGCATTGCACAAGTTCCTCTTCTCTGCCTCCTCCCCCTCCCTTCGTCCCTCCCAGCGCTTCCCCCGCTGCCAATCAGCTGTTTGGCGGCACTTAGGACTTTCTGGGAGGGAGAGAGCGAGCAGGGAAGCTGCTCCCCCGGCCCTGGCAGGCAGGGCCACCCGGAACGCAGGGGCTTTAGGGGCTGCAGGGCCCTGAGCTAAGGGGGCCCCGGGTCCCTGGCCTGCAGCTCTAAAGCCCCTTTCGGAATATGGCCCTGCGAGCACGGGCCGGAGGACTCAGGAGGAGCAGGAGCAGCCAGCAGCCGGAGAGAAGTGGCGCTTTCCCCTTCAAAGCTGGCTGCGGGGGGGAGCTCCCAGAATCGTAGCCATGGGGGCGGTGCCACGGTGTGCAGAGCCACCTACACACCCCCTGCACCAAACAAGAGCTGCCCCAGGTAAGTGCTCTGCCCTTCTTGCCTGCCCCAGCCCTGAGCCTCCTCCCGCACCCCCACCCTGAGCACCCTCCTGCACCCTAACTCCCTCCCAGACCCTGCACCCTCAGCCCTGAGCCCTTGGGATAAGCTGGGTCACCTCCCCACCACCGTACAGTACAGTACTGTACAGTATATAGTGCCGTTTGTCTGCCCCTCCCCAAAATTAGTCCCCTGCATTTACATTAAAGCTTACGGGAAAACTGGATTCACTTAACATCATTTCACTTAAAGTTGCATTTTTCAGGAACATAACTACAACGTTAAGTGAAGAGATACTGTAGCATAGGCCAGATTAATCTCTCATTAACAGTGGTGTAAATCTGTAGTAACCCTACTAAAGCCAATGGGTTACTCTGGATTTGCAACAGCATAACTGACAGCAGATTTTTTTTCTAGCTGTATATGCTATATACACGGTACACACTTGTGCTAGTCCTTTGTAGTGGTGATTCTTCTAACCCTATATATAGCATCTATGCCTTTTTTTTTTTAATTGAATTACCCTGAGAGGAATGTTTGTAGAACTCAGACTGGTATTGTGAACGTCAAAATGAATCCGAGAGATTTGTAAACCCAGAACACCACAAGATTTTTCTCAAAACCTTTTATATCACACATGGGCCAGTTTATTATTGATTGTTTGTTTTTTTTCTGGGTTATTTTGCTATTCTGGTAAATTTCGTGGGGAGGGTTTGAGCAGCACGTCACTTCCAGTTATTACTACTGTCAACCTATGTAAAACCATTGAATTCTTGGTCACCACACAATAGGCCAGATTGTCCTGGGTCCTTGTGTGAGTATATAGAAAGGGGAGAGAGTGGGCATCAAGTGCCTGCTGTCTTTCTGTGTTTGCCCTACACAAGATCCAGGGACAGTTGCAATTACTGTGCTTGAGGGAGTGCAGCAGCTGCTTCCTCTCTGCGCCCCTAAGGTTGCAGATCCTCCCCCAAAGGGAGCAAGAAAAGGTGTGGAGAAACCAGGACCATAGCTCCTACCTTCCTCTCCCCCAGACCCTGGTGTGGGCCAGGCCTACCAGAAACGGGGAGAGGAAGTGCAGTATTATAACCAATCACTGGGGCGGGATCATGCCCTGCATGATCACAGCCAATCTTAGACTGTGTCTGAATCATGCTTTCTTTAATACTCAGAGTATGGGGGCAAGTGGAAAATGCTCCATTACTTTGCCCAGCATTTCTTTGCCCCACTGTTGCCTGTGGGATATGAAGATGACGGCGTGCTGTACATCTACGGAGTGTCGGATCTTCATTCAGACTGTGAGCTGACGCTCCAAGTAAGTGCCGCCTTTTGTCTGTCAAAAGATCACCTCCTGCTAGGGAAAAGAATAGAAAAATATAAATAAACGCTTGGTTATGGAACAGCGATCCAGTAAGTCCATGTCCAGCCCTATCAGCCCTTCCCTGCACCAGTCCTTCAGCTTCTATGAGAGCCTATTCGGAATGTCATTGTGGGCCAGACTGAGTCCTGGTGTAAATGGGTGCAATTAATCCTCTTTTGTCTTGTTTTTTAGACTGAGAGTTCTTTGGGGGCAGAGATTACCACTAACTATATCTCTGTACAGTGCTTAGCGCAGTTGGGCTCTAACCTGTAGGTGCTACCGCAGTGTACCTGGGATCATAGAATTATAGAAACATAGGGCTGGAAGGAACCTTGAGTCTTAAATTTTAAACGGTAAAGAAATAATAATAGCTCCACTAAAAACATGGTCCAGATGTAAAAGGCGATTAAGTTTAAATACAAAACAAATTTAAAAATTTCATCTTGTAACTCAACAGATTCAGGCCCTGGGTGCATTGTTGTTGTTTATTTTATTTTGTATTATTTATTATTACTGTTAGCCTTCCTGAACCACTACAGCTCTGAGAAAATACACTGGATTATTTTGTGGCTTGTGAAGCATCAACAGAACTGGTAACTAAGTTTCAATTGCAGGCCTCCCGTGCAACCCTGTTATCTTAAAATTATGCCCCAAGCTACATCTGAATGATCCCACAGAAAGTTGTAGGATTATGCACATGTATATAAGGGCAATATTCTGCATGGGCCAGAAAGAACCCTGTTTGACTTTCAGATTCCATGGTTGGTTTGTTTATTATTATTTATTATTTGTATGACAGTAGCACCTGCAGGCCCCAAATGAGATCAGGGCCCCATTGTATTGAGTACTGTACAAAAATACATTGCAAAAGACAGTTCCTGAGTTGAAACATCTACAGCATAAGGTGAGAAAGTAAGCAGGCATAGAATGGAGAAGTGACTTGTCCCAGGTCAAACAGCAGGTCAGTGGCAAGCTGGGAATAGAATTTGAGTCTCCCGATTCTCAGTCGACTGCCCTGTCCCCAAGACCTGGCAGACTCTTTCAGTTTACAAGAGTGGCAGTTTAAAAATAAACAAATGACAACAAAAAACTCTTGTAAGCTGCAAAAAAATAATCAACATGAAAAACACAGTGCCATTTTTGCAAAGCCACTTTTCAAAGCTGCACTTTGTGGAGTTGCTTATCTCTGGGCTGAGTTTAAGCCTGTCTGTAATTCCAAAGCTCTGGTGAAGTTAGAGAGGCATGTGTCTAGTATTCATTTCTAATGTCGATTTTTGATTAGCAGTTCAAGAAAATTTTAAACTTGTGAAAAAGAGCGATTAGGAGGAGCTTTAGGATCTATTTCCGGCTGCTGGCACCTCTTATGGTCGAGTGCCCCTTCATGCATTGTATGGTGTTAGGATTCTTTCACATCTGCTCTTTTGCAGTTACCTCATGCTAAAAGTAAGCCAAATGGGTCACAGTTTTTGTATAGGAAGCCATTCCTATTGATCCCAGAGGATCTCATTTGTATTTCATTGTGTTAACACAGTTCCAGGGATTCCCCTTAAAATCATTGCTTGTCATTTTTGTTGATCAAATATATTAAAATTCTCTGTATGAAAGCTCTAGGCACCTTGGCATGTCTCAGGTAATACAGGTCAACTTTAAATAAGCACAACCAGCAATTTCCTGAACCAGAAAAGGGCGGGGAGGCAATAAACCCTTACCCCAACAATTCCAGTCCACCTCAATCCAGCCACCCCTGGCATCAGCTAGAGAAGAGCTTTGCAGCATGTCATAAAGATCAACATGTTCAGGCTATTTGAGACAGAATTGTTGCCTAGTTTAAATAATAAAATGGGTAATATTTATATTCGTTATTATTTTAATCTTTGTGTTGTCTCTTCTTGTCTGGTGTAGAAATCATGTTGAGGCTACGTGCCATGTACTTCCAGAAAAATGTCTCATTCGATGAGTAACTGGAAAATCTGGGATGTGGGAATATTTTTGTAGAGGTATTGTTTTCTCTGTTAACAGTTTGACCCCTTAATGTCTCTCACAGGTCACTTTGCACCGGTGGAGTTCGATGGAGCCAGTGTGTACCCTTGCTAAAGAGGGTGTGACCCTTAAGGCAGGGAGTGCTGCCCCAATTTACAAGGAGCCCATAAATGACCTGTTGAAAAGATGTGGGAATTGTACCAGGCAAAGCTGTGTCGTCACCTTTTACCTTATGGGAAAAGGCGAGCTCCGTAGTCCTGGCAACTATCACTTCCTAGCTTCGCTGAAGGACGCGGTGGGATTGGAGAAAGCACAGCTCAGTGTAAGCACCAGCCATCCTGAGTTACTTTCTTTAGTCCTGCCAAGCTTGTCTGCTGTGGGGGGTTGGGGGTGGTGTCTATAATGTGATGTCTTTTGCTGTTCAGTCATTTGGCAGTAGCTTTTCTGAAGCTCTGCAAAGGAGTTCAAAGTGAGTTTTTCTTTTTCTTCTTCACTAGGCGTTTCTGAAAAAACGTCTAAACATCACTGTTCTCTCCCCCCCCCTTTTTATATGAAGGCTGCATTTCAGTCGATTGGAGTACAACCCACTTCTTTGATGCAGCGTCTCCTTCATCTCTTTTTTTTTGTCCCCAGTTAACAAATGGCACTGTGACAGGCATTCCAACTTGTGGTTAGTATCAGTTTCCAGTGTTAACTGCTGGTAATACGGTAAATGCCGCACATACCAGTTATTGGTAATAGTATTACAATGGAATTGCCTCTGCTGTCCCAGGGATGCTGTGGCATGACTGACATGCAACTTTGTATGGTTATTTCCGCATTATGCAAAATTCTGCACTCCAGCTGAGGAGTTCTGATTTGCATAATGGGTTTACAGTTACTTCCCAATATCTGTACAACATTTCAGTCCTTGTGTCAGCATGAAAAGCAACATAAGTGATAAGTACAATTATTTACTTTATTGGCTATTGCCCTCAGAAGTGCCTGCTGCCTTAGATTCTCAGACTCCCTTCCTACCCTGTTACCCTGACTGCTGTTGCTGCTGCTCTCCAAGCCTCCTTACTTGAAAACTCTTCCTCCATAGCCACTGAAAAGACACTCTAAAAATGGCGGGATGGGTTTACACTGTGTTGTCTCTGTGATTCCAGATCAGATTTGTTCTGTTTCTCCTGTCACATCACTCTTACGCCAGCGTAACTCCATTACAGCAACGTACATAGGAAAAGAATTGGCCTATTTTCTTGTTTGTTTTTTTTCCACACAGGACTACAGACTCAATCTGGAATCTGAAAAGATAGATTCTTTCTAGCTGGCATCGCCAATAATAAAAACTCTGCAGTTAGAATTTAGTTTATGATTCTCTTGTTTATGCAAATTCTGCTCATTCTCCCATAGCTGTGTTGCCTCTCCAGTGCTAGCAGGAGAAAAACATAACAACATTAATTTTGTCAGTAAAGTGAGCAAATATGATTTAGAGTATATGTACACAGAATCTCTGTTGAGTAAAAGGGTGGCTTTTTTCTGATCATCATCTCGTTTTTAAATATCTTTGTTAACACAAATGCTACTTTTTGTATCTTTGTTCTGGCACAGGTTTCACTGCAAAAGCTTATTTAAAATATACTGCAAATCTAACTGTGAAAACAGAAAAATCCAGAACATGTGGTTTCTCTTACAAACTAAAAAAAAAAAAAAGGCAGTTTTTTGGTAATAAAATTTATTTAGTACATACTTAATATGTAACTTGCTGATTTTTAATATACTATTAATGTTCAGAAGAGAAATGTCTGTAAAAGAAAAATGTTGAGTGAAAACATATTCTAGTTGTGGTTTTAGACTGTGCGGAGTGCTATTACTGAAAACTTTACAGTAAAATGTTAAACATATTTCTGGGATCTCTCAGCGTGCCCTATGTATCAGTTCTAAACATAGTTTAAAGACCCTCCTTTCTTACACTAGCAGTAGGTGACCTGCTACATTGCCCTGATTTACTCATCTTTTACTTCCACGGATTTTTATTACTGATCTAGCAAGAAGGGACAACAACCTTAATATTTGAATGTATTGGTTATGAGAAAAATGTGTTGCCACTGGCACAAATCTGTCTAGCACCTTGTGACTATGATAGGATTGCACTGGGTGTAAGTCAGTATAGAATTTATCCCATTATTTTTAGAGGAACTGTCCTTATGGAAAGTAAATAGTGATAACATTCCATAGAATTTTTAAATCAGCCTATAGTATTCTGTAGCCAGGCCATAAATCTCTGTTAAGTTCTGTAGGTTTTTGGGATGCTTTGTATAGAATCTTATCGGCTTTATCCCTATTAAATTATATAGAACATTCCATAAAGGAGGTGTAGAGGAGACAAATAATTTTAACAAATGCATTTTCAAAATACCTTCTGTTATACTGGCCTACAACTTTTACACTGATTGGTGCAGTTGTTTTTACTAAACAAACTTCTGCAATAATCCTAATTTTATTTTTCTTCCTCTTTCAGGCCACTATTTCTCAGCAAGGTGACCTGTATGCTTTTGTTCTGCAGACCACAGCAATCACTCCTTTTGTTTGGCTGGATGTAGGGAATATACCTGGGAGGTTTAATGACAACGGCTTTCTCATGACTGAGAAAAGAAAAGTTGTGGTGTTTTATCCGTGGGAGCCCATCAGCATCGAGGAACTCAAAAAATCACTCAGCTTGACTTCACTGATGGACATTTACTGAGGAAATCTCATGTCCTTTATAGGAAATGTTTCCTGTAGTGGTAGCAGAATAGAAACTGGAAATCTTCAAAGGAGTACAACTAGGACTCCGTGTTTGTCACAGAGGTTGCGGAAGTCACAGATTCGATGACTTTCCGCCACCTCCATGACTTGTGCGGTGGCCAGTGTGGCTGACCCCAGGGCTGCCCAAGCAGTGACACACTCCCCCTGCCCCAAGATTTAGTCAGGGGTATAGTAAAAGTCATGGACAGGTGACAGCCATGAATTTTTGTTTATTGCCCATGACCTGTCCATGACTTTTATTAAAAATACCCATGCCTAAATCTTAGCCTTAAGTATAACTAAAGATTAAGAATCAGAGGGGTAGCCGTGTTAGTCTGAATCTGTAAAAAGCAACAGAGGGTCCTGTGGCACCTTTGAGACTAACAGAAGTACTGGGAGCATAAGCTTTCGTGGGTAAGAAC